ACATGTACTGTAGTATCTACGTTATGATCTGTGATGGGGGATGATTAGTGAAAGAGACTTTGCTCACATGATCCTGCGTTATGCCTCACTCAGTAAACAAAAGAAGAAGCAAAGGGTCAAGAGAATTAAGAAGAAATTTGGACCCAAACCTAATCAGGTAGCAAAAGTTGCACTATTTAACCAATAACATTCAATTAATAGCATTTTATTTAATACAGTGTGCATATTTGATGATAAATTCCTTCTGTTTATTTTTAGGGTGTTAATTTTGAAGATGTTAAATTCTTTGATCATTAATTTTGATGGATTGTCTCTCTGACATAGATGCAGCACTGGGTATGTATAATGCAGCTGGAACCTCTATAACACCTGGTATGGTAACTAGCTCCTCTCTCTTTTTTATTAATTATTTTTCTTTTTTTAAAGCTGAGCTTAATGAAGCTTGCAAGACTGTCACTGGCTCGTCTGTCAGCAGTCATCTTGTTGATGTCCTTTTCACAATTTTTGATGAGAATAGTCAGTTTTAAGTATTGATTCTATGGATTTAGCTTTGTGCTAGATTGATTATTTTAAATATCTATTATATTCATTAGTACTCTTGCTACTATTACTATTGGTATTTAGATGACGGTGAATTAAGTAGAAAGGAGTTTGTACACGTTTTAAAATCAAGAAACTCATGCGGTTTGCAAAAGGTTAGTATTTTAGTTTAAATTAAAATGATTATTCTCTCCTTTAGTCATGAGAATTAGGATTAGCCAAACTAATGAACTCTGTTGTGGCTTGCTCTGCAAAAGCAGTCAAAGATAAACTAGGGATTGAAGCTTGAGTTGGTGCTATGGTGTGGTCAATCAAGTCAGGATTATAAAATATTTTATATTATAATAGAAATATCTTTTAGTGATGGCAAGATAGAATATATATTTTATTTTTATGTACACCATTCTATTTGAGTAGCAACAGTACAGAAACATTTGATTATATTCACTTTTTTAAGCAATTATAATTAAATGTATGGATGATTTGATATTTGAACACACACACACACACATGCCCTCACATATTGTGTGGGGATTTGTGCCCAATACAAAATGTGCCAGGAGCACTCTTGATAATGCCAAGAATAATTCTTTTGTAATCTTTTGTGCTCTTTGTCAGATAATTGAGCCTTCAACTTATCATGAACAAAAAGAAATAGCTCCAATTAATATGCAATATACTGTAACTCATTGTATGTCAATGAATGCCAATTTGTACAACTACAAATTGGAATAGTTGTAGAGCATTCCCACCTGTCTACATGAACCATGGACCAATGAATATAAACTTAAAACATTTAAGTAAAAAATAAAACTATATAGAGCAGATACATGTAGTTTAATTTGGTGGTTGCATACAATGAATGCGGCTTGTGTGGGGCATGTTTTGGAATGTTTCTCAGAATTGTTAGATTTATTCATGTACAAATTGGGAGTAATGTTTTCATACACATAATATCCTCCCTCCCTTATCTCAAGTTGATCTGTAGTAAGTGCTATTGCATCATCAGTTCATCCATAAGATAGTGAATATACTCGGTATTTATGATTCACCTAACAACAGATCCAAAGCATCTCAATACTCACATCAAGTAGTGAATTAATTATGGTCAATACTTGACAATGCCATTGCAATTAGGCCCCAGAAGTGGAGAGATATAACTAGAAGACAGGAACACTCTAGCATACATATCTAGGTATCTAGCAATACATACCTGAAAATATTAAAAATGACAACTATATATATTGCAAGTTAACTGACTTTTAAAAATATTAGTGACATTAAATTCCATCTACAAAATGATTTAGGAAAAATGCCTGTAATTCCTACTACAAGATTTCCATATTTGGAGAGTTTGAGCTGCCAGGCTATATAAAAGAGCTAATGTATGTTGCATCAGCAAGTATACTGTCACTGTTTGTAAAAGCAAGAGTATGTCTCTCCTGTTAGTGGTTGTTCTCTTATTCTTCAGTAACTCCTGCAGTGTCTTCTCTGGTCAGTATTATGTGTCTGATGACTGCAGTTCAGTTACTCATAATCCTTGTAATCCTTTATCAGTGTATGCTGGGAATATGTCTCAATACAATAACA